TGTTTTTGGAAAAATTTCAAATTTTTATCCGGAAAAATTTTAGACTTTAAAATCTGTAGGCGGGAGATTCAAAACAAATTCCGCGTGCAGGCTGGAGTACACGGAGCGCTTCATCAAGGAGGCCCTGCGCCTGTTCCCGCCCGTGCCTCTGACGGGCCGCCAGGTGCACCGCGACACGACGCTGGCCTCGTACCGGCTGCCCGCCGGCACCACGCTGCTGCTCAACGTGTTCGGCGCGCACCGCGACCCGCTCCACTGGCCCGACCCGCTGCTCTTCGACCCGGACCGCTTCCTCCCGGAGCGCGTGCGCGGCCGCCACCCCTGCGCCTACGTGCCCTTCAGCAGCGGCGCCCGCAACTGCATCGGCTCGAGGTACGCCATGATGAACCTCAAGGCGTTCCTGGCGACCGTGCTGCGGGCGCTGCGCGTGGACCGCGCCGACGACCCCTACACCGACATCCACCAGCTGCCGCTCACCGCCGACCTCAGCCTCCGCATCGTGGGCGGGCCGAGGGTCGTGTTTGCGCGCAGGGCGGAGGAGGCCATGTGAATCCGAAGTGGGAAAGAAACAAACAAAAACAAGGGTTGAAAGCCCTGGAAAATTTCTGAAAAATTTCTAGAGAAAATTTCTGGAAAATTTCTGGAGAAAATTTCTGGAAAAGGCGGAAAATTTCCGGGGAAAAAATGAAAAACCTTTCCAGATTTAGGAAAGTTTTCCGTTATTTTCCGTATATTTTCAGAAAGTTCAGAAATTTTCCGGAAAATTTGGGAAATTTCCAACCCTAACAAAAACAGACGATACTTCCGTCCCGCGGCCGTGTGGAAGTGTCGCAACCCAACATGATTACTTTTGTTTTGGAGGAGGGTGTCCTCCACAACGAATGTTTGACAGGGGGACGTTAGCGCCTGCAACGCGCCGGGTAGGCAAACCCGCCAGGCAGCTGTGCGCAGACGGCGGCCCGCCTAGAGCGCCCTAACGCTCCCTCACTTTGTGCGGCCACATCTGACGGTCCGAATGGTCTGCTTTGGCCCGACCAGTCAGAGGGGACGACACGGAAAGACAAAAATCAGTAAAAGTGTTTGGGGTTTGGTCGTGTTCGCTTTCCGTTTCACCTCCGGTCTGTCACTGCCGGTAGCAGTGTGTGGTGTGCGGCAGCTAAGAACGCAACTTTAGCCAGTGACTTTGCCCGCACAAACCCTGCAGCCTCACGGAGCAGAAAACTGATTTTACATTGTGTGTCTTTTAATAAAAACACGATTTCAAAACTGAAGTCTGCGCCAACTCTTTTAAACACGATGCGCGTATAATGGCCATAACCTAACCTAACTACGCGCCAGCCTGACCTTTCTTCCTCCAGGACGCCGGCATGTGTGCGGAGGGGAGGGGGGGGGAGGGCAGCTGATGAACAGGTGGGGGGCAGGTGGAGGTCAGCGACCAGAGTGGTGGTCCGCGCTGGGCTCTGGCCGCGGGTGTCGGACTCGGGTCGGGCTCAGAAGGAGCCAGGCCTCGCCCCGAGGAGGCCGCCGACTCCTACCACGACGACGACCACGACGACGCGCCGCGCAGACTCCATGCTCCTCGCGGAGTATCGGCCGCGCCCGCACCGAGTCGCCGCCGCCTCCGCCGGCTCCGCCGCCGCCGCGCTGCACCCGGAGTCCGTTCCGTCCGCTCCCCGTCCGGCATGCGGATCACATTCCTGCGGAGGCCGGCCATGGCGGCGGAGTGGGTATCGCGCGCGCTGCTCGCGCTGCTCGCCGTCGCTTCCGTCGCGCCCCTGAAGGCCATCGACCAGGCCAACGCCACCTTCGACGTTGGCGACCTGCACGACGAGGGTAAGCGGTGGTGGGGTGTGTCTACACGGTGCTGACTCTTAGGGTTGGAAACACTGAAAAATTTACGGAAAATTTCCGGAAAAAAATATGAAAATGTCCGAGACGTGAAAAAAAAATCCGGTATTTGCCGGAATTTTAAGGAATTTTTTTGGAAATTTCCCGGAAATTTTTTGGAAATTTTCCTGGAAAATTTTGTAAATTTCCAACCCCTCCTGACTGTGGTCTGTCCTAGGCGAGCGCTGCTTCCACCTGCGGCACCGCCGGGCGGGCACCTGCGTCTACATGAACGCCTGCCCCACGGTGTACGCCGAGGCGGACCGGCTCATCTTCCCCCAGATCTGCGGCTGGTCCACGGGCAGGGGCCTGGTGCCCAACGTGTGCTGCGTGAGCGTGACCCCGCCACCCACCGCGGCGCCCACGACGGCACCCTCCCCCAATCCCCCAACCTACCCCA